TCCTAATCTGTGACTTCAGGAGAGTTAAGAATCTTGAAGATAAAAACTATTTGTTTAGCTAAAAAGTCCTTGAAGAATATGAGGATAATGAAAGTGAAAATCCACTACAAAGTGGACCGTCTTACCAATTGTTGTATCATTTGAGAGTGGGTGGAAGAAGCAGCATTCCTGTGTTTTAAATCCCTGATCCAATAACAAGGAAACACACCTTGGGAAAAGTAAGAGCAAGTTATCATCTTAAGAACCGTTGACAAAGGATCGTGGAAAACATCAGAAATTTTACTGTAGCTTAGGAAAAGAGTGAAATGAGTACCTTGCTGATTCATTTACAAGTGCAAAAGGGGTGACACAACCAAGCGGCACCTTACATAATAATGAAGAAAAAACCATTAGGAGGGCTTGCCAGAAAAATTTAAGCTGTCAGCAAAAGATATAGAGGAATGATTCTGATCTCTCCACTGCATACATTTTGTTCAAGCCAATAATCTATAAGTTACTTGTTAAAGAAAAAAAATTGCACTTCAAAGAATATCCTATAAGTTTGTTGCAGAAGAACATCACCAGATTTAAACAATATTTCCTCTACAAGATTGAAAACTAACTCAGCTTCTACAAAACAGATATTAAAAGGCATGGAAGTGAGGAACTATCTTTCATTAAGGACCAGATATTAAAAGGAAAGGAGCTATCTTTCATTAAGGAGGTTCTTACCATCCATGGTTTCTTACTGTCCAAGGTTTTCAAGAACAAATATATGAAAATTTCAAGTAGGAAATAACTTTTATAATGCAATTGCATTGCAGTACTTGTTAGAGTTAAACACAAAAGGTTTCGACAGAGAAATTCAAACACTAAAATTTGAGTTTATAACTAGCCAGACGATTTCTTCATTTGACCTCAGCCGTTGATTTATTTGCCATGAGAAAAATTCTGGTTGAAAAAGCAAATACTATTTCAACAAAAGAAATCCCTAAAAGGATAATCAGTGCATTTCATTTTGCACTCTTTCAAGCACTTTGGAAAGGAGGATGTCTGAAAAACCTCAAATTTAGCATGCCATGTTCAGTTACACACCTATGTGATAGGGACTCGGTATGAAAGTGGACTGAGGTATCATGTAAGTCTTGAGTCTAGAGTATAAGATATAAGGTTAAAGATAAGTTTTATCCTCCCTTCTTCAAAACTTAGTTGACCCATTTTCCTTTTATTCTGTTCAAGTTGACTCCTTTAAAATGGCAAAATATTCCATCTTCAAAAGCAACTTAATATAGGTTAATAGTGCTTCGTTTCTGATGGCATGTAGCAGCTGTAGAAAACGCAAAACAGGGCCTAAAAACTAACAGTAAGATATAAGAAAATCCAGAAAACCAGGGGAAGGGGGAAGAAACAGCACACAAAGACATACCTGAAGTACTTCTCCAAGTGCTTCTTCAGGAGCCATTCTTAGCCCTCCTTTTCCCAAACCAAGCCTCTGAGACAAAACTGCTCAGTTTCAACAGAATGCATACATACGTTAAAAATCAAAATACTTCAGATTTACATAAAATGGAGATATGGCATGTAGTACAGCAGCAGTCTCTACTAATACACAAAATATGATCATTGGTATTCTGTTCCTATGCACATCACTCATATAAGAGAAATTTTATGACATTGTCCCAAAGTAATGGAAACTAAAGAATGGATACCTTTCAAATCTACATTGGTTTTTGCCATTGCAGAAACAACATAGAACCTGTGTTTCTTATCCTGCATCAGAAATAAGGTGTGCGTATTATATTTAGCAGAAGAGCTTGGGTGGATTTAAGGTGGAGTTACCAATGAATTAAATTAAGCTAACATATAAATATTTCCACATTTAGTCTGCCATACCTTCAAGAATAAGTTTTTACTCAATGCCCCATTCAGATGCCCAACATGTTTTGCCTGAGCGAATGAGAACTTAAAGCTGTATATTGTTAATCAAAATGGAAGAACAATTAACAGGGATTCAACATATTTACTTACCTGTGCTTCAACTGTCAAAACCACTGGGTGTTCATGTTTGGTGAAATCAATTTGAAGCTCCTATAAAGAACACAAAAATATTGATTACTTACAGTAAAGTTCTTGCTGGCATAACATCCCATCCTCAAGGATGCTATGAATGACAACATATTCAAGTTATCAACAAAAGATAAGATAATCTATTAGTACTTTGCAACAACTTTAACATTATTTTTGAATAAGACCCTCTTGACTTGGAATTAACATTTCCAAATACATACTAAAACAACTAGAGATCTGTAGATGCAGATGGAACCTGTAAACGGGCAAGCAATTGCTCCTTAGTATAACCCATTTTGTCTTTGTGGAGATCTTCTCTACAAGTCCACTCTCTGCAAATAACACCCAAAAAAAATATTATTGGAGATATTACAACAACAACATACCCAGTGTATTCCCACAATTGGGGTCTGGGAAGGGTAAAGTGTATGCAGACCTTATCCCCTACCTCATGGAGATAGAGAGATTGTTTCCGAAAGACCTACAACTCAAGTAACACATAACAAGGCAATTTGAAAAAAAGACAATACAAAGGAAGAACAAGGCATAGAAAATAAGACATAGCAAATAATAGAGGTTGCATAACAGACAAAAAAGTAGAATAATGTGATAAACAAAGCACAAGAAACAACAGGTAGCAGCAGTAATCGAAGAACAAGAAACTACAAGAATAATGCTAATACTATCTACCCACCAAGCCTACCCGCAAGGAAGCAAGACAATCTTCAACTACCTTCTACCCTAATTCGCGACCTCCATATCCTCCTACCTAACGTCATTTCCTCAATAAGTTGAAGTTGCGTCATGTCCTGTCTAATCACCTCTCCACAATATTTCTTCAGCCTACCTCTACCCCTCTGTAAATTATTATCAATAAAAACTTAAGGGCCACTGGGATAGACTGACCTAGATTTCGAGCATTAAGTTAATTAATTGATCTCAAATGCTTATATTTGGTATGGTATAAAATTGATATCGGCAGTATAAGTACATCTTATTCTCTTTCTCCTTTTCTCTTGTAAATACGACTCCTTAAATTCTCAAAATTAGATTATTACACCTTTCGATTTTGCCACAAACAGTCTATGCTCTCACCAAATATGAAAAAAAATCTCTACAGTTTAAGTTTCTAGAAAACAGAAGCAATACTCAAAAGCCAGAGTAGTACACAGCTTAGGAACTATTATCACATGGAAGCAAATAAAAGAAAAACAACATTCTCATAAAATTCACAAATACAAGTCGAAGCTAAATTTTAGCAAAGCATTTCTTCGATTCGCATTTTGTAGTTCGTCGTTAAAAGTTCATCGGGAAAAAGGTTAAAGTTACAGTCGGAAATGGAACTTACAATTAGATTTCGCCGCAGAAAGAGATGGAAGAAGGCGAATCCGCATCTCAGAAAACTTTGCCTAAATTTGGATTTGCTGTTTCTTACTATACGAATTTTTTGCCCAAATAGCTCCACAAGTTTAAGTATTGGTTTATCTTGGTCCTTTAAGTATGAAATAGAGATATAAAACTATTCTAGGTTAACAGTTTTGGTGCACTTTTAGTCCTCGATTGACGGATCTAGACGGAAGTTGACATGTCTAACGGAATTGCATGACCAGATCTTAGTCTTTTACCCAAATAGTCCTTTTAAGTTTAAGGTTTGGTTTTACTTGTTCTTTGAAAGGACATTGGGCAAAAAATATGAAAATGTTTTAAAATAAATAAATTAAAGTTTGTGAAATGATTTAAATCTGCCTTTCAGAGGATAAAATATATTCATGTTTTTACCACATTAGTTCAATGTTCTTATTCATTAACCGTGATACCTTTTAGATACAGGAGTTTTTTTTTTATAAAGTAAAATGATTAAATTTACCTTTGAACCGAGTGAGATAGTTCATAAGCTAAAATTGTGTAGCTATATTTGCTTTAGTATTCGAAAAGTTGAAACGGAGCTCTAACATTGATATTAATGATTTGAGAAGAATTGGTGATGGAGTTGTATCAATGAAGTTCCAACAAAATTGGAAGTTTTAACTTGATGGTGCAATTGTTTATTAATTGAATTTCATTTGAAATAATTTAAAGTTTGAGGGTGATTAAGTAGTGTCAAATCACCTGACAAATAAATTGAAATGAAAGGAGTATATTTTTAACAGAAAAGGATCAAAAATACCCCTGAACTATTGGAAATGGATCACATATACCCTCCGTTTGATTTTGGGGTCAAAAATGCCCTTACCGTTGGTGTATTGACTCACTTTTACCCCTCAAAACTAACAGATGCCATGTCACTTAAAAAAATCACATAAAATCATATTTTTTTGCTGACTTGGAAATTAAAAATGGACAAAACTCCCAACATGGCAGCAACAATCCACAAGTGGGTTGGGTGTAATACACCCTTGGCTCAATAAAAGTCCTAAAATGACAAAATTACAGCGAAATTAACACAACATTTTGATATGAAATTTTTATTTCACAATTCTTTATTAAAAAAAATACAAACTTTGATCACTTTTCAGTTTCTTCGGTTAGGGGAATGGCAATGGAAGGATTTTTTTTGTCCATTTGAATTTCCAAGTCAGCAAAAAAATATTGTTTTGTGTGATTTTTTAGGTGACATGGCATCTGTTAGTTTTGAGGGGGTAAAAGTGAGCCAATACACTAACGATAAGGGTATTTTTTACCCCAAAATCAAACGGAGGGTATATGTGATCCATTTCCAATAGTTCAGGGGTATTTTTGACCCTTTTCCGTTTTATTAATTATACATAACATAAAAAAAACGTTTCAAATAAAATATTGCTAACTAATCTATGTACTATTTTTGCTAATACACTTATGTTGAAAAAGTCTATAATGATTAATAGTGAATTTTTAAAATCATTACCCCATAAATATACTAGTACATTTTGATTACATAGCGCCAAGCTCAATTAACTCACGTAAATCGCGTGTCAAATATGACACAATACAATTATTCTCACCTACCTACTATATTGAAACTAACAAAAATTCTATTCTTACCAAAACTGTCCGATTCTGCAAATCCCAGTTTACTTACAGATACACTGTATGCTTTAATCTTTATAAAGGTATGAGATTTCTTTCTTTTTGTGCGTGTGAATTGTGATTGCTGAGAGAACAGGGGAGGAGAATGAAGTTGATGGAGGTATTAAAAGTAGTTGTGGTGGTGGCTATGGTGATGATGATGGCGGTGGAAGCAATATGGCTAGAATTGCCGAATTCAGAGACTAAGTGTGTATATGAGGATATCCGTAATAATGTTGTTGTTTTGGGTGAATATATTGTCATCCATGCTGATGAGGAGCACGTTCAAGCTAATTTTATTCCAACTATCTCTGTTCGGGTAATTAATTAAATCCATGTATAGATTTGGGGATTAATTTTCTATATGAACCTTGATTAAGTTTTATGGGTTCAACATTGAAGGTTCTTAGAAGTGATGGGTTCATATCTACGATTTGTGGCAATTTTCGGAAATTTTTATGTATAATTTATGCTCTGTGGTGAAATTCAGAATCTAATGATAGGTTTGGTTACCGAAATATTGGGATAAAAAGAATTTAACTTACCAAAGGGTGGAATTGGAGAGTTCAATTCACGAATGCAAGGGTTCAATCTATATACTCATTTATTGATATGCTTTACTTGAGCCAGCCGAGGGTCTATCAAAAAAAATCTCTCTATCTTCTCAAGGTATGGGTAATATTGTGTGCATCCTCTCCAGATCCCATTTGTGAGACTACACTGAGTATGCTATTGTTGTTGTTTTAAGAGTTCGAACTATGGAGCTAGTGCGAGAGAATAATTGATTATGAGAGCAATTCATGGTGCAACTATGTCGAAATGTATCTGCAAATATCAAGAAGTTTTTATACCGTGTTTAGGTGTTGTAACAACATTTGGATCATTTTAATTCTCATCAAATTGCGTAATCGATTAAAGATATAGACATGATTACTCTTATTAAAATTCTTAATTGTATTGATCTTCAGTTCAGATTAGCAATGGCAATATGATCTAAACATTTTTTTCAGGTTACATCACCATTTGGAAACAGCCTCCACCATGAAGAAAACGCCACTTATGGTCGATTTGCTTTTACAACGTCTGAGCATGGAAACTATTTGGCGTGCTTTCGGATGAATAGCCACGTCCCCGGTAATAAAAATGCAGCTATTTCTCTTCAGTGGAAAATTGGAATTGATGCCAGGGATTGGGATTCAATTGCTCGGAAAGAAAAGATAGAAGTATGTACACAATACATTACCATCCTCCTGGTGCCAATCTCAGTGCCCTTACTTTAATTTTTTTGAACTTGTATTGTTTGCTCCTCTTTTTCCTTGTAGGGCGTTGAACTTGAGTTGATGAAATTGAAAGGGTTGGCGCAAGCCGTCCATGAAAACTTACTGTACCTGAAAAAGAGGTAATTTACGGTTTGAATAAGCAGGGGTTACTATAGTCTCCCAAAGGTGATGGCGTAACTTTGAAAAGTAGTAGAGGATCCATGCTATAGCAATTGCTTATGGATTGGATTTGGAGTACTTAAAAGAGAATGTCACGTTGTTGATTTCATCTGTTTCAAAAGTCGTACACAAAATGTCTGAACTTATATTGATTTGTTTATTACCAAACATACATATTATCGATAACTAATGTGTCTCTCGTGGATTAAACGTGCAGGGAAGAAGAAATGAGAGGAGTGAGTGAGAGAACGAATGGAGCAGTGGCATGGTTCAGTATGATGTCCCTTAGTATCTGCATAATGGCTGCAGCAGTGCAAATATGGTATTTGAAGCGCTACTTTAGGAAGAAAACGCTCATATAGTTTTTCTTCTTGTGGCCGTAGGTTACATACAGGTAAAATCATAAAATATCAACACAAATATTTTCCCTTTGTACCAAAAGAGTATCGGAATTACAGAACAGTTTCTGTAATTCCGAGATTGACCGGAGTTGGAGAATCTAAGTAAGCAGTAATGGCAGAAATCGCTTGAGTTTTCTATGTCAACAATATCTTTAAGCCGTATGATTGAATTAGTTGGAGAAATGACAATAGTTGAATTGTAATCTCCCCTCAAATTTAGCTTTCTAACAGTAATTTTTGTTGTGGTTTCAGATATTACACTACCCTCTCCTATATTATTTAAGCTCAATGTATTAGTATTAAAATTTATCATGAATTGGCAAAATTTATGCGGATTGTCTAATTTATTGTAAATCACCTCTCTCCCTAGCACATGTGGTGCTTTGATCCAACTTTCACTCTGTCACGTACAAGGCAAACTAATAATTTTATCATTCTCAGATACTATTACTTGTATTAAGAGATTTATAACCAATTAAGTTTTCTTCTTTATTTGGTAAATTAAAATGATTTTTCAGTCGCAAAGACTGGACATTGCCAGAAATTAGAATCAGAAAATTTGACATTATATTTTCTGATATTACTATATCATAAAAAGAGACAAATGCATAAGACCCGGACATGACCAAATTATAATCAGAAGACTATGAGCTTGAGGGAATCGGCAGCCTTTGCAGTAGTGAAATGACCTTTTTATTAACAACTCCCTTAAATATACATAAATTACGTGACTGTAAATCAAATTATTTTTATGTACCAATTAACGTGGAATCATTATAGCTATCCTTAAACTTAAAATCTTGAATCCTGTCTCATTATACCTACTTTTAGCTAACCCGAAATAGGAGAGAAAATAAATAAATAAAGGTAAGAGTAGTGATGAAGATTTTTTGTGTTACAAGTTCCCTCTAATATTTATAAAGTGATTTTTGTGTTACAAAATAAAATTGAGCATATTTCTTCATTTATCTATATGTCCATTTTTAGTTGTTCATTTAAGTCTCCTTGGTAAAAGAATATCTCTCTCACCTACTTTGACCAAAAATGCTCTCTGTAAAATTATGAAAATCCCGCTTCCTTACCATACACAGCCTATACATTTCAGAGCTTCTCTTCTCTCTTTTTTTTTTTCTTAGGGGCGTGAAAAATAGCTTCTTCGATTTCTGGATAAAAAAGAAGGAGAATGAAGGTATTAAAATTACTTGTGGTGGCGACTATGGCGTTGACGGCGGTGGAAGCGATATGGCTAGAAATGCCGAGTTCAGGGGATAAATGTGTGTATGAAGAAATCCGTAATAACGTCGTCGTTTTGGTTAATTACTCTGTCATTGTTGACAATGAGCCCGATCAACCTAATTTTATTCCCGATATCTCCCTTAAGGTAATTAAATTCTGGGATTAGTATTGCATATGAACCTTGTTTTTGTTCTATAACAACTTTTATTAAAAAAAATTGGTATGATAGATGAAGAAAATACAGAACCTATAGGCTATAGGTATGTAGTTGCCTGGACTCTTAAAAAATATTGTTACTGTGTATTAGATTCTCTGGAAGTAGTGCATTTTGTAACGATTCGATATGGGTGTGGCAGCATTTTTTGGAGAGCCGGAGAGCAACATTGAATAATTGTTTATTCAATTCACAGCTCAAGTATGTGGTAATTGCAAATGTATCTGCCAATGTCAAGGTTTTAAATGATGTATATGCGTTCTAATCAATATCCAACTTTTGTAATAGTTTTTTGTGATGAAATAAAAGAGTATTCAGTATCAAGGACATCAATGACCTTTGAAACAAACAAAAAAAGTATAGGTGTTGTAAACGCATATGTAGCATTTTCTCATCAAATTGCATAGCATGAGTTACTCTTAAGCTAGTTTATTAATTGATCTTGAATTCAGATTAGCTGTGAAAAAAATAATTTCATATTTTACACTGATTCGACTCGTGGTACAGTTACAACTTACATAGACATTATGTGAACATTCTTAATTCTTTTCAGGTTATATCACCATTTGCTGACAAGCTCCACCATGAAGAAAATGTCACTCATGGTCAATTTGGTTTTACAACCACTGAGCCTGGAAACTATATGGCGTGCTTTTTCATGAATAGCCAAGCTCCTGATGGTAAAGGTATACATATTGGTCTTGACTGGAAAACTGGGATTGCTGCGAAGGATTGGGATTCAATTGCTCGAAAAGAAAAGATACAAGTATCAAAATTATATAACTATACTCTAGTGTGTGGGAGGAGAATTGTGAGCTCCTGTATTCTTCCTTTTTTTTTTAGTTTTTAACTTGTGTTCTTCTACTTTTACTTTTCCTTGCAGGACATTGAACTTGTGCTGATGAAATTCGAGGCATGGGTGCAAGCCATCCATGAAAAATTAATCTATCTGGAAAAGAGGTAATTTTCATGCTTGAATTTGCTAAATTTTGATTCTTTGCTACCCCAGATTTTATATGTTTGCTGCTCTTTCTAATATCACCATCTCCACGCACTTCATGGTTTGTTTTGAGTGGCCAAAAGTGTAAAAGAATTTGAACATCTAACCGAAAAACTTTAAGGCTATGGGTAGCCCATAGCCCAAAAAATGATAAATTTGTTTATCTTTTAAAGTCTCCGACACGTTTAACACAGTTCTAAGTTCTACATGTGGATGTGTTTTTCTTTGAGAAGACTGAAGTAACTATGGAGGATGAGGAATAAGTTCGGAGCAGAACCATAGGCTCAATAGGCTAAGTACCGGGCATAGAATTGAGAAGGTGGACTTGATAGACTAAAAAGTCGGCCTGAATTAGAGAGAGACTTGAGATTTAAGGATTGATCCTGGAGTAGAGATAACGGCTTGATGGTTGAATTGAGAGAGAGAAGCCCAGAACCGATCAATGAGATGAGTCAATGGTAGAAAGCTCCAAGCGATAGATTAGGTGGTGATAAAATGATTGTGAAAATGTACTTTAAAAAGTTTATGTATTGATACCATATGTTAAACTCCTTTTGTTATGTTTACACAACTCATGTGAAATAGGTTTTTCTTTAATGTAAGAGCTCATATAAATAACATTTACGGAGCAATAGAGAGGTCCATTGTTACTTGTCATGGTATGTATAGCTAGCAATGACATATGGATTTGGAGTACTTCACAGAAAATGTCATGTTGTTATTGCCTCTGTTTCAGAATTACTAAATAATCACAAATGTTCAAAACTTGATTTAATTTGTTTGTTTATTTATTATCAATACATATATATTATCCTACAAATGTCTGTAAGTTCTAAAAAATTATAGATACAACCTCAAAACTAACGTTTCTCATGGTTAAACTTGCAGGGAAGAAGAAATGAGAGAAGTGAGTGAGAGAACGAATGCAGCTGTGGCGTGGTTCAGTGGAATGTCCCTTAGTCTCTGCATATTGGCTGCAGCTACGCAAATATGGTATTTGAAGCGCTTCTTTAGGAAGAAAAGACTCATATAGTTTTATGAATGTAATGGTAACTACCCTTTTGTGTGGAACCACAACTCGCATATAAAATATCAACGTTAAATTCTTTTCCTTTGTACCAAAAGAGTGTCAACATGGAGGAGGCAATTTCAGTAAGTTTCTTGTGCAATATAATGCAAGCAATTCTTGAATGTCTTTCAAGTTATCTATATATGTCGATGAGTCAGTCAAATTGCTCGTTCGTGTCTAGATTGAGCTCTAAAGCCATGACGCTTTCTTTCTGCCATCAAACAAATAGTGTATTGCTGGTGAATGAATACAACATTTCACTTTGTCCAAACAGTTTTAAATTTCTGGGTAAACTGTGGCTGTTTAGCCAATAAAAATGTATAAATTCACAATAGTGAAGTCGTGCTAACAGGTTTCCAACGTTCATCTTCCCTGTGGGAATGAGCAAAGTCTGGCTCCCTCAACTCATTCAGCCACTGCCACCTTATTAACCTTCTTTTGTATAGGTGTACCATGACAACTTTAAATTGTTGTTACCCGTAACAGTGACTGAGTTGGTGCAACAGGTGGTATCTCATAAGAGAGGTCAGGCCGAGATTGATTCTCTCTATCAATGCCTTCTAATCCAAACTCATCATACCAGTGCAATTAACATCTCTTGTGTGGTTTGTGAATTTTGAATTTGAAATGAAATTTAAGTTTTCAGTTTCTCAATTGAGTAAAATTAACTTGCAGACATTTGAACATGAATTTAGTGATATTTAAATACTGTATCTTGGGACGAAAATCTAGTGCTACTTAAAATCAGATAGAATTAAATGTATATATATATAATCAAGGTATTTGATTACTTAAAGATCTGCATCATAAATATTTAAACAAGCCAAATTTCATACTTCTAAACATGAACTCGGAGAAAATAGAAAAAAGAGAAATGAAGATAAGCTAAACCCAATAAAATATTGCTCAGGTACTGGTCACATAGAAATATTAAATAATTACATTAATGTCACAAAATGATATTTTTGGATTATTTTTTTTTTGGAAAGATTACCATTTAAACAATTTTGGTTATAAAAAATTGAAAATAAAGAAGGTGGGTGTAATATCTATAAATCACAAAGAAAATAAGTGTTACTCATAAGGTAAAGTGTGAGGGAAAGTTTCTCAAATTACCCCCAACATTTATTAAGTGGTTTTTGTGTTACAAAATAAAACTGAGCAACTTATTGAGATAAAATTAATTCTCCTAAAAATTAAAGAGAGTAATATTTTTGTCCAAGCATTGAATTTAATTTTCCTTTGTAAAAGAATATCTCTCTCAGTTTGACCAAAAGTGCACTTTTGGAAAATTATGAAAATCCCGGGTTGCTTACCATACACTCTACGCCTATACGTTTCAGAGCTTCTCTCTCTTTTTTTTTTTATTAGAGGCGCGAAAAATAGCTTCTGAAAAAATAAAAAGGAAGGAGAATGAAGTTGGTGAAGGTATTAAAATTACTTTTGGTGGTGACTATGGCGATGACGATGGCGGAAGCGATATGGCTAGAAATGCCGAGTACAGGGGCTAAATGTGTGTATGAAGAAATCCGTAATAACGTCGTCGTTTTGGTTGAGTATGCTATTGTTGGTGTCAATGAGCACAATCATTATAATTTTCTTCACGATTTGATCTCCCTTAAGGTAATTAAACACATCATCTCAGTTAGTAATTGGAATTTGGTGATTAAATCATGGGATTACTTTTGCATATGAACCTTGTTTTTGTTTCTACTACAACTTTTATTTAAAAATTTGGTATGATAGATGAAGGAAATATAGAGCTTATAGGGTATAGGTATGTAGTTGCCCGGACTCTCAAAAAATATCGCTAGTGTGTGTATTAGATTCTCAAGAAGTAGTGCATTGTTAAGGATCTGATACTGGTGAGGCAAATTTCTGGAGAGTCTGAGCAACATTGAATAATTGATTATTCAGTTCATGGTGCAAGTATGTGTCAATTGCAAATGCCAAGTTTTTATAGACAATGTATAGGTGTTGTAAACGCATATTTCTTATCAAATTACATAGACATTATGTGAATATTCTTAATTCATTTCAGGTTACATCACCATTTGGAGTCATTCTCCACCATGAAGAAAATGTCACAAATGGTGAATTTGCTTTTACAACCACTGAGCCTGGAAACTATATGGCGTGCTTTTTCATGAATAGCCAAGCTCCTGATGGTAAAGTTGTACAAATTGGTCTTGACTGGAAAATTGGGATTGCTGCCAAGGATTGGGACTCAATTGCTCGAAAAGAAAAGATACAAGTAAGTTCATAATTATATAACTATATATACTTCAGCATGGGGAGAGGAGAATTGGGAGCTCTTGTATTCTTCCTTCCTTTAATTTTTAACTTGTATTCTTCTACTCTTACCTTTACTTGCAGGACATTGAACTTGTGCTGATGAAATTCCAGGCATGGGTGCAAGCCATCCGTGAAAAATTAATCTATATGAAAAACAGGTAATTTTCAGGCTTGAATTTGCTAAATTTTGCTTCTTAGCTACCCCAGATTTTATTAGTTTGCTGCTCACCATACTAAATAATCACGAATGTTTAAAACATGACATATGCATATATTATCCAACAAATGTTTGTAAGTTTTAAAAATTATAGATAAAACCTCAAAATTAACGTGTTTCTTGTGGATTAAACGTGCAGGGAAGAAGAAATGAGAGAAGTGAGTGAGAGAACGAATGCAGCTGTGGCGTGGTACAGTGGAATTTCCCTTAGTATCTGCATATTGGCTGCAGCTACGCAAATATGGTATTTGAAGCGCTTCTTTAGGAAGAAAAGACTCATATAGTTTTATGAGTGTAATGATAACTTCTCTTTTGTGTGGAACCACAACTCACATATAAAATATCAACATTAAATTCTTTTCCTTTGTACCAAAAGAGTGTCAACATGGAGGAAGCAATTTCAGTAAAATTCTTGAGCAATATAATGCAAGCAATTCTTGAATCTCTTTCAAGTTGTCTATATATGTTGATGTACATATAAGGAGAGTCGGTGAAATTGTTCCTTCGTGTCTAGATTGAGCTCTAAAGCCATGATGCTTTCTTTCTGCCAGCAAACAAATAATGTATTGCTGGTGAATGAAAACAACATTTCACTTTGTCCGGCAGTTTTTCTGGGTAAACTGTGCGAGTTTAGCTGATAAAACTGTATAAAATTCACAATAGTGAAGTCGTGCTAACTGGTTTCCATGTTCATCTCCCCTGTGGGGATGAGCAAAGTCTGGCTCCATCAACTCATTCAGCCACTGCCACTTTATTAACCTTCTTTTGTATAGGTGTACCATGACAACTTTAAACTGTTGTTAACTGTAAGGGTGACTGAGTTGGTGCAGCAAGTGGTATATTATAAGGGAAGTCAGATCGGGATTGATTCTCGCTGTCAGTGCCTTCTAAGCCAAACTCATCCCAATACACTTGCTTAGTGCAATTAACATCTCTGGTGTGGTTTCTGAACTTTGAATTTGACCTGAAATTAAGTTTTCAGTTTCTCAATAGAGTAAAACTAACGGACAGTTGAACATGAATTTAGAGATATTTAAAAAAAAAAAAAAAAAAAATTGAAAAAACATTAAAATTTTTGGAGGATTTTTTTCTTTCTAACCTCAAACTGATGCACAACCAAATAGTTTTTGACAAAAAAAGAGAAGAGAATGTATGTCTAGATGGGTCTTTAGACTCACAGAGTTACTTGGTACTTATTGTTGGTGGATGATGATTAAAACGAGAATCACGAAAATAATTACCACTAGTTGTATGAATTTTGAAACACATTAGATTTGTTCTCTATTGAAATTGTTCAAAATTTCGTTATTATCGATTTATTCTCTATTGAAACAGTTCAAGTTATTGTTATTATCTGTTTTATCTCTATTGAAATTGTTCAAGTTATTATTATTTTCGATTTATTCTCTACTGAATTGTCTCCAAGTTATTGTTTTATTGATTATATTCGGTGTTCACCGATCGAAAATATAATAATTATTTTTTTCTTCTCTCATTTTCTTAATTACTTCAATTTGGTTATTTCTCTTGTTATTTCCTTTACACTCACATATAAAGGATTAACAACTCTTAGATTAATTACGTTGTAAGTGATCTCATTCTTAATATCTGGTTGAACTAACAAATAAATTTTAGCCTTAGTAATGTACAATAAAAATTATTATTGATCGGAATAACAATTAAATGTAAGAATTCATATAATTATAAAAGAATGACATTTTCTTTTTAGACATTCTAAAAATATGTTGTATAAGATGGGCTTACAACAATAAATTACAAACTCTAATTATGTTTTTTGATTTATTTTTATATTTTTTATTTAAAACAAGTGTTTAAAAATATTTTTTATTTTATTTATATAGTACGAAAATGCTTAAAAACAATTTTGATTTAAAAAATGAGTTATCCAAACACACTCACACCCGTTTGGCTATCAAAAATTTTTCAGTTTTCTAAAAAAAATCACTTTATTTAAAAATCATCGTTTAACCATAAAAATTTCACATACAACTTCTGAAAAACATCCAAAACCTTTCTTTCACTTTCACTTTTTTTCCATTCTAACTATATTTTTTTGTTATTCAAATTTGACCCTAAATTCTTCATTTTTATAAAGATGACCACATTTAAATTTTATCATGTTTGAATCACATTTCATGTTTCTTAGGAAATATATTCAAACAACCATGTATTATTTGCAAAAAAATATATAACCATCTTCTATTATAACTTCAACAAATTCAAATAAAAAAAGTATAAAATATTTATAATAGTATGTACCTCATATATGTGATCTTTCCATGAGCTAATCTCTAACATTATATATGGGTTGTTTGATAGAGCGTATAAAAATAATATTGAATAAAGTGTATTATTAATATTGTGACTATTTATTATCTACGGTTTGATTTGGTGTATTAAGGACAATTTTATCTTTGCCCATACTTATTCATGTGTTAATAACTCATTACCCATGTATTATATTGCTAATATAATGGTTTGATATGTGTTACTTATACTTAAGCTAAAAATTCTATCAAGCAAAAGATTAAATAATATCATGACTATACCATGTATTAGATTTTTTAATACCTCCTACCAATCTATCTGATATGTGATTATCTATTTTAAGGTATTATTATTTTAGAATAGATAATCAAGTTGAGTGATTTGTTAGTTTTTAAAAATTCGAGGGTGTAAATCAGTGTTTTAAAAGGCAGGGGCGTGAGACGAGGTGTTTTATATAGTACAGGGCGAGGCGTAAGTCTCATGGATCTACGGGGCGTAGTTTCATGTATATTTAATTTTATAGTTTTATTACTAATAAAATAAGCAAAAGTAAACCTTTCAATGATTTATGATTTTTATTTGAGATAAGTATTAAAAATCATTACACCAATAATAAAAAAATATGATTTAAAGCAAAAAAGGTTCAAAAACATAAATTAAAAAATTCCAGGCGTACGTTTTTACGTCCAGAACTTATATTTTTACGCCCAAGATTTACGCTTTTATGCTCAGGGCTTACGCCTCAAATTTTAGAACTTACACCTTATGAATCTACGTCTTCAATTTACGCCCCGGAGCGTTTTTGAAACGCCCTGCCCCGAGACTCACCCTAGGACTCGCCCCAAAAACATTTTTGAAAACACTGGTACTTATCAAAATATAGGAAGAGTTTTTTTGGATCTTATAACCTAAAATATTTTGGAATATGGAATTTTGCTTTCATGTTAAGCCCATTACACCTAAAACTTGCATAATCCATGTCACTTGACCAAAGTTTTTTTTAAAAAGAAATTAAAAACGACCGGTCGTACATTTTTAAGCCCAGAACTTACGTTTTTATGCTTGGGGCTTACGCCTTATGGATATACGTCTTTAATTTATGCCCCAAAACATTTTTGATACGCTCTGCCCGAGACTCACCCTGGGGACTCGCCCCAAAAACATTTTTAAAAACACCGGTGTAAATCATATTTTTAAAAAGTACATTCAAATTTTAAATATAATCTTACCAAAAATATCGTCAAATAAACATGTTCATAAATTCCATATAAAGTGGGGGAAAATTGGTTTAGTTAGAAGTAGGTGGAGTAAAGTGTAATGAAGTAAAACAAGTGGTGTCAAAATGAAGTTTTTATTTTTCGAAGACTGTAATAATGTGAATTGAGATGAACAAGATGGTAATCTCTCAAATTAGGGTTTCAACCCTTTTTTTCTATCCTTATAAATTGCAGCAGCAAATAACAAAACTCATATCTCAGCCTCTCCATTTACCCTTTTATCTTCCTCCTACCACATTATATTTTTTTCTGGTTTAGAAATTCTTATATTTGAAGAGCTGTGATGAGATCTGAAGAAAGTCATGCACCACTCTTACAAAATTAATTTTTTGATTGATGACAAATTTCTCATACCCATTTTGCTTCTGAGCTCTTGTACATGCTTTTCAATTTTATTCATTCATTAAGTATTAGTTATTTATTTAAATTTCAAAGGATTTCCTTTTTTTTTTCATTGAAAATGATTGGTAGGAGGAGCCGCGTGATGGGATCTTTTCAGATCAAACCATGATGCGGACCGTACCATAGCCTAAAGCTTCTGGGGATGAACTTTGGTTTCTGATGGCTCCTTCTATAATTCAAACTATTATTTTTCTTAAGTATCTTTCATAATTGCATCTGATTTTTTTAATTTTCCTTGTTTTATAACAAGGTGATGAGTTGCTTAAACGGAAAAAGCAAAGAAAATATGCAGAAATTGGAAAGGAAGTAATGGGTTGGGAGCTTTTGGCCCATTCTACTGGCTTCCAATCATTACTCCCTTTCCAGATTCTGGATCCTGGTACAACATCTTTGGGATGAACGAGAGAGGTGGGGTTGGATTCATATTATTAAAAATGTAATTTAAAGTTTTAACTTAATTTTGTAAATAAATTATTCAGTTTAACTTACTAACTATATGATAGTCCAAATATTGTACTTTTAAGACAATTCACCTAATTTGAACCAGAGGGAGTACTATTTGGTGCACAAGGAATGTTTATAATTTGGTTTAAAATTGATCTAAATTGATATTTAGCATACGGGTTGGGGTGTTCATGATTAGGTTAAAAATTGAAAATTGAATCAAATTAATTTATTTAAGTTTATATATTTTTTAGGGAAAAGGCTCAAATATGCCATCGAATTTTTAGAAAAGGCTTATTTATGCCATTCGTTAAAAGTTTGGCTCATTTATGTCATTGCTGTTAAAGAAAAGGCTCATCCATGTCATTTTTTTAACTCCGGTTTTGCAAAACCAATTTTTACACACCAAACATGGTTTAACACTTTCTTTTTGGTGTTTTTGGATCAAATGTACATTTTTTGCTTCTACATCCTTAAGAACACCAAGAACACATAAAGAACATTAACAATTTCCAAATTTCAAACTTATTCAATTCTTCACGAAATCATCTCAAATTTCGGCTACAACATTAATTTCTTTTTTTAAAAAAACAAAAATTCTAAAATCATTTGTAGAGTTCAAAAAATTCATCCATATTTAAAAATATATATTATGTATCCAACTTTAGGTGTTGAAAACAAACCAACTGAGTACCTTGTCTCCTTTCCTCTCAAGTCTCATCATCAACCTATGATATGGTGCATGCATCCGACCATTTGTCCAAATATGCCATCGAACTTTTAGATTATGATACTTAACTTCCTCAATATTTAAGATAAAATATATTATTTTGATAACTAATAATATTATTGGTAATCTGTAAAGAACAATT